AATTAACCATTATGTGCAACTTTTTGTCTGAAAGAAGTATGTTTCGCGATACGATTGTTGAAAATTAATCGCTTTTTCCCAAACTATAAATGATTCTTCCTCCTTTACGTATAAAATACGGTTAAGGAAAGATTTTTTTAAAGGCTTTAAATAAATATACTATTGCTTAAAACTATTTAATGACTAAATTTCCAAAGATTAGTTGTTTTAAGATAACGTAAGGTATTTTCATTGAACTTCAAATTCGTAACCTAATAAATGACTGAGAGTCTATTGCGGCATTGAAGAACGATGAAAAAATGCTTGGCTTGCGTTCATAGACGTTATCAAAAACCTTTTAGGAAATAATAAGTAACCGATTTATGTGAAAATCGTAGAAAATATGATTTAAAAATTCCATAAGCTCGGGTGCCTAATGAATCTAAAATTGCATTTTATGGATTTACGTTTAAACATTTTCTCTGATAATCTCGGTTTAGAGAGCTAAGAACAAGGCTTCCATCAAGATGTTGAAATCATTGAGAAACGATACAATGGTCTTTGGAATCAACATATGGTGGTGGATTATTGTTGGAATCTGCCTGAATGACAACCATAAGCCAAGGTATTAATAGACCTTGCAGAAAATAATTGTTAAATCCATCAATATAATTTAATTACCTTCTAAATATGTCTGTATCTTTATAAAAATGTTTAATAAACAGAAAAAGTATTGTTTAGTATACACAATTATTTTGTTTTAATAACATTCCATGCTGTATATAATAACAAAACTCCTGCGAAATTTAAAAATAAAATAATTTAACTTTACAATAAGATTGGAGAACTTTAAAATCTACAAAATCTTGCTTTGCTATCGCTTCCCATCTCAAATACTGGAAATATATCTAACAATTCAAGAAGAACAGGTAGAATTGATTAGTTGGAAAACGAAATGGAAGGTCGGTAGAAGGATGGTCTAAATAGTTGGTTTTTGACCGCTACGACCCGGGATCGAATCCCGAATTGGGCACATCTTTCTTGTTTGAAAAAAAAAATTCTCCAGTAGCTCCCAATATTTGCAAAATGTTAACCCCACTATCGAGTGCAAGTAAACAAACAGGGCTCTGGCACACTTGGTGAGTGAAAAAGTCGAACTACTTTTCACCTGTGTATATATAATGAGGACTTACAGTAAAATCAGTCGCTTACTACCCCCACCATGATTATCCTGGCTTGTATACCACGTGTGTGTACTTGAGATATTTAAAACACGAGAAAGAAAGCTGTCATGTAAAAACATAAAACGTCACTATGAATTTCAAGAAAAAGAAGTCTGAGAACAATCCGCAAGACTTAGAATGAGAAAGACCAGGCATGTCTATCACATTTAAAAACATATTTTTCAATGCTATCAATAAAATATACAATTTTATAACAAATAAAGACACTTATGAACAGAACTAAGGAAGTAAAAATTATTTGATGTCACTGGTGTTTTTTTTTTTTGAATGAGACATAGACGATTTGTTCACACTTGGCTATCCCGTGTGTCTTTAATTAAGGTCACTGTGTATATAATATATTTCAGAGTGATTGCCTGAATCCCGATATACATGCTTAATAGGTACAACTTTCTCATGTTTTGTCCATGAGTGTATCTTTCAGAGTTATTGTCCTGAATCCCGATATACATGCTAAAAAGGTACAACTTCCTTATGTTTTGACCATAAGTGTATCTTTCAGAGTTATTGTCCTGAATCCCGATATACATGCTAAAAAGGTACAACTTCCTTATGTTTTGTCCATGAGTGTATCTTTCAGAGTTATTGTCCTGAATCCCGATATACATGTTAAAAAGGTAAAACTTCCTTATGCTTTGTCCATGAGTGTATCTTTCAGATTTATAGCCCTGAATCTCGATATACATGCTAAAAAGGTACAACTTCCTTATGTTTTGTCCATAAGTGTATCTTTCAGAGTTATTGTTCTGAATCCCGATATACATGCTAAAAAGGTACAACTTCCTTATGTTTTGACCATAAGTGTATCTTTCAGAGTTATTGTCCCGAATCCCGATATACATGCTAAAAAGGTACAACTTTCTCATGTTTTGTCCATGAGTGCATCTTTCAGAGTTATTGTCCTGAATCCCGATATAAATGCTAAAAAGGTACAACTTCCTTATGTTTTGTCCATAAGTGTATCTTTCAGAGTTATTGCCCTGAATCTCGATATACATCCTAAAAAGGTACAACTTCCTTAATTTTTGTCTATGAGTGTAATTTTCGAGGGAATCTCGATACAAGTTGTAAGAAAGTCCAGAGAGTGTAAGAATGTCTGTGGTAGGAGCGGAGTCCATCCTGGACTAGACGTGCCCATGGCGCCAGTCCATCCCGATATCAAACACGTCCGTGACGACAAGTCCGGGAAATGACCAAAGAACCGGAATTGTTGTTTTGAAAGTAGAACTACATCGATCCTACTTCTTTTAGATACTTTCTGGTTACATTCCTAGTATTATGCTATTGTGAAATATTTCATTTTTTTTTTCATTTTACTTTTAATACAATATAATATAATGCGGCTTGTGATTTCAAAATGACATTTGAAAATTATCCCGCATGTGTTTCTTTTCAACGAAAAATCAAAATTTATTTTAAGGAGAAATAACGATTTTTTCTAACCTTAGGGATGAGGCATGAAAGAGTGAATTGTGAAGAGTAAGGGTAGCCTAGTGGACATGGCATCTGCCCGGTAAGCGGAACACTGTGGGTTCGATTTCCATCCCTGAATACTTTTATTTTTCCGTTTATCATTACTCTTTACGATTCACCCTTTCATACCTCATCCCCCAAATACTCTTTAATATTGCAACAATTAATATGCCTAAGAATATTTATCTTGTAGTGTGACTAGACCAGTTTTATGTGGCTGAATTATAGATTGGAATGTACGATCAATAGGGAATAGACTTTGAGTCATTTTGATGGGCAAGGTGAACTTTATTTACTAGATCAATAGCCTTCCAGCCAAATTCAATCTAGAAATAAATTTGCTAGTTATCGGCCCCAAACAAACAAGTGTGAAAATTCCACTGGGCTGCTACAGAAAGAGAGAATCTTTGCAACCTTTTTATAAATATTAGTTAAGATGTTGTTAAAGGTGGCACTCCTAGAATAATTCAGAGATGTAATTCCCTGTTGTAATTTGTATATTGTTGTAATATTGTCAATGTTAATTTGTATCTCTGTCTATATATCGCAGCTTTGTTGTATTGTTGTGTTGGCTAGTTGTTATTGGATAGGTCAGGCCGCTGATAGGAGAGAGCTGCTATAAGTATATATAATGGTATCTCTTATCCTTCCTTATTGTTTATAAATATCTTTAATTAATAAAGGATCTTCGTAATTACAGCCTTCTCTCTCTTCTACGACTCTATATTTTTTTACCCACAGATGTGTTAGTCAATATTCCTTAGATGTGGAAAACCCATTATAATATGATGCACTAGCACGCCATCTGTTAACAAAATTCGAAACTATACGTTTATTTTTGAAATTAAGCAATTTCTACTGCCCTTACTGCAATGGAATGGCCCTCCCTTTAATTTTTCCATTGCAGTAAGTGCAGTAGAAATTGTTTAATTTAAAAAAGAAACTTACGTGTTTAAAATAGTTTCGAATTTTGAAAAGCCATTATAAGAGGAGACAGTAGAGTAGTACTGTAGTGTGTTTTATAGATGATTTCTATAAATGCCAAAACGAAACTTTATTTCTAAACGAATATTTATCAAATAGAGCATCAGTACTTTTAGTCTAAGTATTATACATTAGAGGTATATATACTAAAGAAGAGAACCTTTGTTTAGTAAAATTCCAAGAATGCCTCTCCCAAAATAAATGTTATTCCTTTAAATTTAATCAATAAAGTTAATAGTAGAAGAGTAAAGGGGAATTGGTTAATGCGAAGGGAAGATTGTTAAAAATTCGATTAACAATAGGCTAATGATGAGAGGCAGTCACTCTTGGCCTGATGAGGAATTCCATTAGGCATTGTTTGGTCTCCGATAAATAAGGCTTGCCAAATGACCAGTCAGAAGATGATCGCCTTCTTCGGCCTCTTAGCCAACGCTATCGATGGAGGAAGGATAATGCATTCAGAATCAATCTTTCAATTTCTTTACTTATTCAACTTGTTCCCTGATAGAGAAGAGGCAAAATATAGATCTTATAATCATCGGTATCTCAATAGCAAGCTCATCAACATCCTTCAGAAACTCTCATCATCATTTCCTAATCCTTTCAAAAAGATCCTGGATATAGTTATTCATAGAACGCCCACACATTTTTTCTTAAAACATAAATTTGAGGAAGTATCTTATCATAGTCTAGTGCCTTTTTTTTCGCTTCTCTTCCCTGTAATTATAGCGGGAGGGTTCTTATTGTGATGAACAGAAGATTTCCTTTTTTTTTTCTTTCTTACAGAAGCAAGAAGGAAGAAAAAAAAAAGAGTTCCATCACACAAGCCACTGAAAAGAAAAAAGGAAAAAAAGAAGTTACTTCCTATTCAGAAAATTAATAAAGCGTCAACTTTTTAATTTAAACGCTGAGAAGATTTTTTTTTTTAAATATGTCGTCCTCAATTTAAATGTTTATACATCTTAAGTAATCTAGATTTTATTAAAATAAAAAAAAATTGGGAATTTATTAGAGAAATATTTTAGATTTGTCCTCGTTTTAATATGCTTCTGTGTTTAATTGTGTCCTCTGGCAATTTATTGTTCATATGTCAACTATATATTAAACAATATAAATTAATTTTGTAAACTTGATGTGTGTCATATACGCTTTGTGAAAAAAATGTAATTTAATTATTTATATTTATTCGGAGTTTGAGATAGAATTTTATTTATTGATTTTGTGAAAAGTGTAACTCTCTTCAGCAAAAAAACATAGATTTAAATGATTCATCTTTGTATCTAATAATCTTCATTTTTTTATGATTCTTTCTCTTTGCCTACGCCCATACCACATTGAAAACACCGGTTCTCGTGCGATCACCGAAGTTAAGCAATGTCGTTCCTGGTCAGTACTTGGGAGGGTGACCACCTTGGAACACTAGGTGTTATAGGCTATTACCTTTTGGCTCAAAAAGCATCCATTTTGGTTAGCAGCCCCGTAAATAAATATATATGTTTTATGGTTATCTATAGAATCGTATTTTTATACTTATTCAAAAGTTTATTTGATTCCTTAAATCAATGAACCATAGAGAAATACATCTTCAACGAATACATCAGGAAATGAGAGAGATGTGTATTAACTCTTTAGATTCAAAATATATGTTACACCTATATTGACTCTCCCTATGTCTATAAAAAAAAAACTATGGGGAGTTGATAATGTCGAAGAATTTGTCGAGAAGAATCTTGTCTTCAGGCGTAAGAAGCCCGAGGAGGTGCTCCGTTTCTTCTTCGTAATAGACCGCGAGTAGGATATCCATCCTGATTGATTTTGCTTTGCGAATTCTTGCTAGACATTGATGACAAATCAATATTGGAAATTTACCGATATATGTCAATTTCCATAGTTTTATCCTAAAAATTAAAGTATAAAGTTTATCAGAAACATTATTAAGCGTTACGTACTATTTATCAAGTGAAATTTATTCTACCTACCAGTAGTAATATTCATAATGAATCATTGCCTAACGTAGTCTCATAGTATGCAAATAAATGTGAACCTTATAGTATGCAAATAAATGTGAACCTTATAGTATGCAAATAAATGTGAACCTTATAGTATGCAAATACTATAACTCCAAATAGAGAATGGTAAATATACTCTATAGAGCCTTATAAAATGCAAATATTTATTATAATCTGAATAGTGTATGGTAAATATACTTCTAGAGAGCCTTATAGTATGCAAATAAATATTAGAATCCAAATAGAGAATGGCAAATATACTTTAGAGAGCCTTATAGTATGCAAATAAACATACTAATCTAAATAGTGTATGGTAAATATACTCCAAAGTATGCAAATAAATATTATTTCCATACAGTCCTAGATTGGGTAAAGAGATTCAAATCGCCCGTGGGTCTCGAAGAGATGGATCTCAGGCCGCTGTCAAGTGTCGCACACCATAGAGCCAAATGGAAGGTGACAACTTTCATCTCCTCCCGTCTCCCATATTTCATTTTGTTCCGTGCACATTGATTTTGTTTACAGCAATATAGAGGGGAATTTCATATCTTTCCCTCACTCCTCTTTGGGCAACATTCATAGAGAGTATATATATAATATATATATATATATATAATAATAATAATAAAATGATATACGCACCTTGTAGATTGAAGAAAGAGGTAGACTTTATTCATATATATATATATATCACACATATAAATTTACTGGCAATGCACTTCTTTTAAATATCATCAAATATTATCTCTACAGACCTTACTGCAATGATATGAGTTATTGAATGAGAGGGCTTGGCTCATCAGTAGTGAACCCTCTCAGCCGTTTCGCCAAAAAGAGATTAATTTGGCGAAACCGTTGAGAGGGTTCACTACTGATGAGCCAAGCCCTCTCATTCAATAACTCAATAACTGTAGAGATAATATTTGATGATATTTAAAAGAAGCGCATTGCCAGTAAATTTATATGTGTGACATTTTAACGATAGATGGCAAATAACTTTAATTTACTAATAAATATATATATATATATATATATATATATATATATATATATATATATATATATATATATATATATATATATATATATATATATATATATATGAAAGAATTGGATAATAATCTAAAGGAATGTCAGGGGACAAGCTGAATCAATTTTTAGTTGATTTCTGTTCCATCAGATGGCGCAGTGCAATCTGAAAAGCACATGTGCTCCTGGTCAGGATATGCCTTTTTATTTTTAATATATATAGATATGTGTTTCATGTGTGTATGCATGTTTTGTCACTTGAGTATATATGTGCCAAATGATATATATGTGTGAAAAAATAGTTTCAAAAAATTAAAATGTTCAGGTGCTGGTATTGAAATCGAAGAAGGCATATCCTGACCACGAGCACATGAGATTTATAGATGGCAGAGCGCCAAATAGTGGAACAGAAATAAACTAAACGTTGATTTATCCTGTCCCTTGATATTTAGTCAAATCCATTTTCTTTATAAATCAATAAAAGTCAATTACGAACGTGTTTCGGGCTGTTGGCCCTCGTCAGGGTGGTAAAGGCTGTACCTTTACGACAAAATGTTTTGGTTCAGGGGGGGGGGGGGGGGGGGGGGGGGGGGTGAGCGTCTTGTGATCACAATGAATGGGTGTTTAAGGCATATTTATAATAGATAAGATATTATCATTAGAAAAGAATTTCTCGCTTACTCAGATGGGCCTTCAATGGACAAGGTGGGAGATCTGGCTGAGATTCTCTCCGTCTTTGTTCAAATGCCGGTGAACATCTGTGATGCCTTCTGTACCTGGATCTTGTGATTTAATTTGCTCTCCGTCTTCGGTGTTCCTGATATGATGCGCTCGATGTCCCATCGCTGATCATATTTTGCACCTTTTTTTCTCCGGCGCTGCTATGATACGCCCGATGTCTCCGGTGCTGATGATACGATTGCCCATCTCTCTATGATGTTCATGATATGACGCGCTCTTTGTCCCTGGCGCTAAAGATATTTTGCGCCTCGTCGGAGACTTCTCATCTGGTTTCCCTTCCCTAGAGCGCTCAACGCGTTCTGGGCTCTAAGAAGCGGAGCATCTAGAGGCCTTCTGTCAGCGACTACTGCAGGAGAGAAAAGGCTAGCTCTAGCTATCATGCGGAGCACGAGTCGGAAACCAACGTTTATTGAGGGGATCGGCTATGTCCATTACCCTCCTCACCATAAGCTATAATCATAATAGGTAATGTTTGTTAAAGCATTACTCGTAGGGTCAACATTCATACAACACACACACACACTTGGAGAGATCCATGGAGTAGCGGGTCATAAAATAGAATTGCAACGAATAATAACACTAGTACACACGTTTTTTTCCATCTCAATATTTGAAAATTGTTTCTAGTAAATTCCAACCCGTAGATCATGAATATAACCATCATTCTTTCAGAATTACCTCAATTATTTGGAAAATATTTGAAAATATTTAATTTTATGAACAGGCTGATGTCATCGCTGTCATCAAAATAATTTGAAGATATTGACTTTGTAAGCATAAAATTGGTAACCTAGATTACTTAAAATCCCATACTTAGGTTGAGTATACCATTATTATATATTTGTTCAACCTATGTTAATGAAGTAATATAAACTATTATATTTATTTTGTGACCTATATTACTGAAGTATTATATTATTACTAACCGAGTGACCCGGGCAACGCCCCGGGGTTACCCCAAGGGCCCGCTAAGATATCTTCTTCTTTCTTATCTCCACTCAATCATATTACGGTATCAAGCATGTAAAGTTGACAACCATCATGATTGGTTGGAGTAGAATGTGTCTGCCTTTGTCATTAAGACTGGGAGCACTACTCAGTGGCAGGCCGACTTAGCTCTAAAAGAAATGGCCGCCTCTGACATGAGGAACAGACGCCATGTGCAGCCGCTCCTAACATGGAGTACAAACGCTGTTCATCCTGTATCCCTGGATCAGGAGCCCTTACAGGGTACTATCAGCCGGGCCAGCTGAGCTCAGGTTTTTTAGGGAGCTTGTTACTGCTCCCCTCCCCTCCTTTTTCATCCAGGCTTGGGACCGGCAAAGGCGGAGTTCATTATAAGACATAAAAATTATAGATAGTGGCTTAAAAATTGCAATAGGTGTAATATGATTTTCTAGAGGCGGCATATCAAGTATAAGGGTGGGTAAAAATACTTTCAAAGTGAAGTATATACATTCAGGCAGATCTTATATATTTTTATATCAAAATGAGAATGGAATCATAACATCAACAACAAACCTTATAATTAACAACATATTAGACAGCACAGTGCAAAAATGTTGAAAATTAATGTACGAGTATAGAGTAATGATGAAATAAGTAAAGAAATATAGAAAAAATCTAAATAATTTTGAGGCGAGAAACTATAAGCATTTGTTTAAAGTTTAAATAAATATATTTAAAGTGAAAAAATAGGGGAAAAATTGAAAAATCAGAAAATAAAATTGCAGACAACACAACTACCTATACCTATTGCAGATAAGACAACATATAAAAAATTGCATTAATTTAAAGGACCTCATTGAAAACTACATTTTTAGTTTATATATATATACAATATAACCTCGATAATTCGACCCTGTTTCGATGTCCTGACCTACGGCTTATCATATAACAAACTATAATTCGACACCCTCGATAATTCGACTATTTTAATTTTTAACAGTTGATACGTTTTAACGTTAAAGTTTTAACGCTAAAAAGGTATTACAGAAACGACGGCTGCCATTGAAAATATACAAAATTTATGTATAGAGTAGTGGAAGAAATAAATGAAGACCAAAATCAAATTAATTGATAATAAATAGTTTTTTAGAAAAAAATATAAATTCGAGGTGAGAAACTATAGGCATCAGAATATAAATTTACAAACTATATTGCAGATGAGACAATATATTATAGGAATTCATGTAAAGGACCTCATTAAAAACTACATTTTATATATACGTGGGTTCAACTTTGCATGTATGCTATCCAAAGTTCTCATACTTGAAAAAGCCACATAAATCTTTCCATGCGTATAGCAAAAGCCAACCTTAGTTGAAACTGACGCCTCTCCAGGATGAAGGGAAGTTTGGTATCTGAAAGCGCCAAAGATATTTTTGACACAAAAACAGTGTGTCCAACTTTGGTCTCTGTCAGTATTTGCGCTTCAAGGACATGAGAGCTCATGCGCTGGATCACCATACGTGTGCCATTGCAAAGACCATGCTTAGAATTCAAATTTCTCAGAATAATAGAAATATAACAAACTTAAAGTTTAACGGGTGTGAAGGCATTCCTCTGGGAGTAAGGCTATTGAGAAATTCAGTAAGGTAGTTATTTTGCTCCTCCACATTCTCACACTCTACACTGAGAAAACACTGACTCGTGT